GCTTAACAATAACGATCGCGGGCACGGCGCTTTTCCACTATGCCACCAAGCTACTCAATACGACGAGCTACTGAGCACTGCAGGGGCTCAGGCCTTCCTTATGGATGGTTAAGGAGGATGGACCATGACCCTACACGCTGGCCCAATGCGGATTTGAGGGTATTAACGACTGCTAATGCAGCCGCGACCAACGGCTTAACGTGCCTTCTAAAGCACGGAGTAGCTCGAAATAATATTTTTTTGGTCACCCATCCCGTGACTGACTCTTAGAAAGTTGCTTAACGACAACGATCGCGGGTCGCGGCGCTTATCCACTACGCCACCGAGCTACTCATGAAATTTATAACCGTCTATTATTGTTCTTTGCGATTACACAGGGACAAAGCGCACGCGCGCCGTTTGTCCGCAATCCCCATAGAATAGGCACACTCGTAGCTAATTCATACTTCCTGCCTCCCTGAGCCATCGGGTGATGAGAAGATAATGCTGGTTAATGAAATGACAATGATGGACATACATATATATTTACTATACCTAATTTTAATTTATATTTTTCGCTATGATTTTAGCGACAGATGATAATGATTACGACTAGGCGGCCTGAAATTAGTCTAATAAAGGCTTTGTAAGTATGGGAAAGAGCTTTATAGCATCACATTTTTCTCGGAGTCGATTTTATAGAGTCTATTAATTTGCGTTGTAGTATATTTGACCAATTTTGCATTAACAACACTGGAAAAAACAAGTAACAAAGTAACAAGTGCTTGAAAAATTCGTCAGTCCTGTTGGGTTTTGGGTAGCTCTGTAGTTAAAACTGCCATCTGGATTGTAAAGGTCATGGATTCGAGTTTCATCTCTGAGTATTTTTTTAAGCATTTATCATTAAGAATATTTGCGTTGTATATTTATACGTAGGTATATTGTATGTTTCATACTAAGTACTTCTTTCAAAATCTACTAGGTAATAGCGTATATATTTTTTATAAGTCACGAAGATATATCAATTTATAATCTATTATTAAATACATAGAACATTAGATAGTTGTTTATAAAGTGGTGCAATTGTTAATGGCGCCCAGGGGTCTGGTGGGCATTTGTTTGACTTGTACCGGCATAGTTCGCACTTCGTGTGGCTTATTGTACACAGATGGTAGAGTGTAATGTTGCCATGTGTAATTGTTTTCGTATTGACCGCATAAATTGCTTTGACTTCCGAAAAGTATGTTTGTTATTGTAAACGACATTATTTTATGAACTAAATCATTTGATATATACAATTATATTTACTGTTTAATGTATTTAAACAAATAAAAGTAATAGTATTTTCTGATCTTATTAATTTATTATGATAAGTGTAAAATATCTAATTAGGTACACAAAATAGGTAATGAGAGTTATTTACCCTGTATTGAATATCAAGGGATGTCATGTTTGTAAAATACGTGAGGATGTATACGTAAGTAATTAGGCAATGCACAGGGTTGGCGGTGTGGGAAGGGGAGGGTAGTTGGCCGGATCCGGAAGCGCGCCGGAGATGAAGGCGCGATACAATATCCGGTTAGACGCCATTTCCGCCGCGAGACGACGTCGTGTGTGGATCGAGCGGCCGCTGATTCGACGGCGATTTTGTATTGACGATTTTTGGATTGGTCTTCTGCTTGGTTGAGGGATTGTTTCAGGTGTTATGCTCCAATGACAACAAAAAAGTGTAATCACCCTATATTTAAAAATAATTGGACTGATTGTACGACATTAGCTTTTACTATGACTTCGCTAGCACAATGGCCGGCACGTTCGGTCACCTATTTTTACAAAGGCCAGTCTTCAAATGGATGTAGGTACCTTATTTAAAATAAAGTATTGCAATAATGGATTATAAACAGTTAGACACTTCGAATATCTGTTTCATTTATAATAAATATTAATATTCGGAGCAATAAAATAGGTCATGAGTGTTCAAAACACGATCGTTTCGGGAAAAATTAAGTAGTGCCTTACGCTTCATTTGGCTTCTGGTTCGGCATTCGCGGGCCACTACATTGCCCTAGATAACACAATATCAAAGTAGTACTTACCCATGTATGGATTCTTAGTCGTAATAATTGCAGGTACTCACCGCATTACTTTCTTTCATTCATAAAATGATCTAGATAGAAAAATTTTCAACACAAAGCGTTAATTAAAAATTAACCTTAAAAATTTGTATAGCGTTTTTAAACATGCAAAGTGGTACTTCCGTACGTCGATCGTAAAAAATCGACGTGTTCTCTTACATTGCGATGAACCCGATAAAGCATGGCCCAGGTCTGGCAGGGTTCTCGATGCCCTTACCTTTGTTCTGGAAGAGGGAAACAGTATTGGGGATTAAGCTTTTATGTAATTTAGTCAGAGAGCTCTTTCTTTTCTGTCTATACTTAATCCAAGGACTATTAAATCATCGGATTAAGTATAATTTATTGATTAGAAAAGTACGTATGTATGAAAATTTACTTTTGGTTAGTAAAGTACATTGTCTCATTTAGTTATATCTCCGTGGCCAAATGGCTCATACGCCGAATTATTACTAGTACTTTTAAATCGTATAATGAATCCCTACCACGGGTTCAGGTCCTGGACCCGAGTCCCAGTTGGGTCTAATATAGATTTTTTTTTTTAATTCTGGATATCGTGACACCTTCGTTGTTTCAGATTTCCATAATACAAATGCCAATGTATGTATGTGACTTTGTTTAATATTCAATATTTTTTTAGGAGCTTAGGTATTTAATCTTTGTTTATCAAAGAAAACATGCTTTTTACCCGACTACGGCGAAGTGAAAAGGAGGGTTATGATTTTGGCCGGTATTTATGTATGTCAGAATGTTCGTCTGTTCGCTTATAATTTCGAAACTACTCGTCGTAACTGGAAAAATGAGGTATCATTAGAAGTATCTTAGTTGTCCGCGTGCTTTGTGACGTTACCTTAAATTAATATATTGATAACTTATGCTTGTGAATTTGCTTAAATATAAATTCAAAACTAAAACCAACGACTCCGCTGTCCTTTGGTCATCAACAGTGGTCGGAATTAGGTAGAGTTATTCATGTACTTACACTGATTTCATATAGCGAAAGAACAAAGTGGATATGCCTCAAATCCCGAGATTAATTTTAAAGAGCAGAAACAATCCCGTTTTTTTTTTAAATAAAAAGTTATTTACTTTTACACAATTTAAACACTGCACGCACGACGTTGCCAAACTTACATCAATGAAAGAAAGAAATAAAGAAATCCCGGGAAGGTCCACATTAATATCAACATTTCGATGCAAGTACATAAATAACTCTACCTAATCCCGACCTCTGGTCATCACTTTTATAGTTATCGCTATAAAATGAATTTCTTTTTTCAAACTTTTTAAAGCGTAATATGAACTTATTTTATTTATTTATTTAAAAGCGATGGTAAAAATGATGTCGTGGTCATTTGTAAATTAAAAAAGTGTTAGACAAATTCGTCAGTCCTGTTAGGTCCTGGGTAGCTCAGTGGTTAGAGTAGTCGCCCTGATTGCAAAAGGTTCGAGTTCCACCTCGGAACGCCTAGGGCAAGTGGATAATTTAACCATTTTTCATGAAGAATACTTTTCAGTATATCATTGTGTATTCAAAATTGATCAAATATAAAAAGTCTGTGGTCATAAAATTTGATTTGAGTTAATAAAGAAAACAGAGTATTTGTACTCGGATGTTCGTGGTTATGTACATGCAGGATTTATAAACTAACTTTACTCAAAAATAGAGCATCATAATAAAGGTTTTATTGACAGTACTCAGACGATGACTACTAAGTAATCCATTAAATTCTAAGCATCGAACATTATGAAAGGATTAATTCAATCCGCTTCGCTTTTAGAATATCTGGGCCTATGTATAGATTGTATATGCAATAATAATTATTCGGCGGAGTATTGCGATAATACAGATTTAGATAGAGCACCGACTGAGGAGATAACCCCTTACATAGCTCAGAGCACATAGCGCCCACCACCCAGGGTACGGTCTGCAAATCAAATAAACTTTCGATTGAAGCACTAAAGCATGTTAAAAAATTGGAGTGTTTTAATAAATAAAATTGCCAAAATCGAACTTAAAATGACATACAAATTGTATTATGGCTTAACTAAACAAACTCATAAAAGTCGGGGGACCTCTTAGATTCCAAATGTTCCACAAAATAGTCCCAATGACTGCAATGTGAATTTTTAAATATATACAATATATATATTTTTGGAATACCTTTGATTGACCCATATTGTTATAGCATATTTATATATGTCCGTCATGTTTAATATTTAAAAATATATATAATAGCTAATGTCACTTTTGGCGTTGTAACGTTTCTATTATTATACATTTATACGTTATATCATGTAAGGTTCGGACTGTAGCAGAATGATAAACACATTCAATCGATCCTATAGGTTTTTTATTTAATTACGGAACCCTTAAAAGAAAGGTAGGAATATAACCCATTCCAATAATTGCAAAAAATACAATTGTATTTTTTGCAATTATTACAGTATTACAGTACAATATAATTGGTATTGTGTTTGTACACATTATAACTTCGTTGATTTATGCATTTCTTTGTAACTTTCGACTAATAAGTTTTATTGAGTATACTTCGAAATCGAATTTCTAATTAGCACGAAGTGAAACATATTTCAAAAATTGGAAGGTTAATAGTATTAGGTGTTAAGTAATTACGATATTGCAAAAACACATTCTTGGCATAATATTTTAATGATAGACATAATTTAGAAATTAGAACGTCAAACTAGTTTAAAATCTAATTTGAAATTTTGTAACTTTTTAGAAATTACTTTTTAATGTCATTTAATATTTCGTGATTATTTGTATACATTAAAAGGTGATTTTATAAGTATATATACGTCCGAAATTATAGAAATACTGTCACTTGTGTTGCTTTTGTTTAACAATAACCAATACCTATCACCAAAATGAAATACGTGAGTATTTTAATTATTTATCTTTTGTTTAAGGTCTATAAATCCATTATTGTTAAATAAATAAAAATTAAGAATTCAACTCGTCGAGTATTTTTAAGTTTTGTTTATAATTAGATTTTCTTTATAAGAAGGTTTTATCAGAAAACTATTTCTAATACTTTTTTTGTAACAACTCGGTTTATGTGTAACGTTATATAACAACGTATAACTAAAAAAGAAATGACTACAGCCATGTTTTGACGCGTTTAGAGAAAAGATATCTTTTTCCTTAAAGAATCTTATTTCTATTGCAATAAATTTAACTAAAATAAATTCTGACTTAGAAAAACCTTTTTTTTGTAACTATTCTTGTATTTGAACAATTAACTAAATTAATCTATAGCCGGCAATCTTTGTTGTTGTAGGTAAAATTTATCGATATTTTTTATAATAATCCTTTAAGTTCTAAATAAATATATCTACAATATATACAATGGTTATAGTTGTTAATAAATAATCATGGACTAAGGTAAAGCGTAAATCACTTCCACAGGAATTGTTTCGTGTGTTTTGAGCTCGTAGAGTCTTTCTTGAATAAAGTGAAAACTATTCAAAGAATATGCAATGCGTATATACTCGTACTTTTCTCTGCGGTATGTGGTAAGATCAAGACAGATGAGTATTATAAAAATATATTTCTCTCTTTGCTACAGTTCGTGGTCCTTAGCTGCATGGTTGTGGTGGCGTTGAGCGCGGTGATTCCAGACCCAAGTGTGAGGGAACTGCCAGCGGTCAGGCACGAGGAGGTCCACGATGAATACGGCCAGTACGCCCTCAGATACATCACAGCTGAGAGTAAGTAGTATTTATTGTCTTATCAATTTTATTCACTGATCGGAACAAATAAATCTAGCTATATATTAATATTATAAAGTGTTTGTTTGCATTGAATAAGCTCTGACTACTGTGCCGATTTAAAAAATTCTTTCACTTACGGTTAGCTACATCGTATGGGGTCGACACAGGCTATAATTTGCGTGTTTAAAGTCGCGGGAAAACAGCTAGTTTTATATAATTTTGAAACGATACAACAACGCTATCAAAATTGAACAGCTCGCACTCTAAAAAAAAAATTGTTAAATCAAACAATATTGTGATATATGTGACCAAGCATCTTGTTTCCATATGAGCCTGACAAGATGTTAGATACATTAAATAAGATGGTTTTTATTATTTTTACTATAGTTACTTTGTTAAGATAGTTAAGATTTCATTCAATTTTATCATTATCCTATTAATATTATAAAGGCGAAAGTTTGTAAGTATGGATGTATGGATGTTTGTTACTCTTTCACGAAAAAACTACTGGACGGATTTGGATAAAACTTTACAGCAATATAGGTTATACATCAGAATAACACATAGGGTACTTTTTACTGGGAAAACTTCTCACTCCCACGGGATACCGACTTCCACGCGGACGAAGTCGCGGGCGTCCACTAGTAAATAACTATAGCAACTACCTCCTTGTCTTCAATTTAAATAAGATCGTAGTCGATATGTCTATGATATTTGACTGTATGAACAATTTACCACAGTTGATTCAACCAAGAGGTTGGTAAAAATTAACATGAAACGTGTCTAAACTAATCAATTTACGAAAGTTAATTTGACCAAAGAGTTGGTCAATTTAACCATGAAATATGATTGTACTTGCCAATTTACCGAAGTTAATTCAACCAACATGTTGGTCGATATTAATATGAAACTTGGTTGTTCCAAACAATTTACCGAAGTTAATTCGGCCAAAAGATTGGTCAATTTAAAAGCATGAGATATGATTATACTAACCAAATTACCAATGGTAATTCAACCAAGAGAAAGAACCAACCACTTTAGCCGTTTGATCATTCTGAACTTTTGGTCCAAAGCGAGTCAGATTTTAAACTCGGACCACAGCTCAGAGCCTAACCAAAGAGCTAAAGTAAATAACTGGAATGGTTGGTTTCCAATCCCATATTAAGTTTACTTTAAACGGCATATTACTTATACAATCTAACGATATAAACTGATACCGCGATGCATTAAATGAACAACGCCATCTAGTTTGCAGACTTAAAACTATTCGGGCACCTATGAAGATGATGGGCGTGTTTCATATTAATGTCGACCAACATGTTGGTTGAATTAATCTTTTTCATAACAATATTCTCGCAATAGAAAAGTGAATTTGATAAGTTTGTGTGGATTGATTTAACAAAGTCACTCTTTGTTGGCACTCGCTTTTCTTAGTTGATTCATGTAAGACAGTATTTAAATCAATCAGAATTTGATAATTATTTTAGCAAATACATTGTTAGTAGCATGAACAGCTTAATTTTAGTTAGTCCAATAATGTCAAGTAGTTACCATTAATCTTTCAGGTTTTTGAATTGACTAAATAGTCTTTGTTGTTTGAAAAACAAAGGGTATTTTTGGTTCTACTAACGTTCTTTGTTAAATCAAATACGAGAAACTTATTACTGCAACAAAATAAATCGTCAAATCTATTACTTTACCTATTTATTTTGATTAATTTGTATAAATTGATACAACATACTTAGTTGTTAAATTTAACTATTAAAAATAATCGATTCACACAAAAAAATCCAGTAATGATAGATACGATAAATATATTTGATAGAATTAATCAGGGTTACCAAATCTTTAATTTAACCATACTTTAACTAGTTGGTTCAATGTTTCAGCTTTGATTGATTTATGTAAATAAGTAATTGTTTTATTCAATATTATGTCAACCAAGAGAAAATCGCTCTTTGTTGGCCTCCATTTTTTAGAGTGCGATAGTGATGATGGCATGTTAATTCTGCTTTGTGCAGGTTAGATAACATTTCCAAGGCCGGTCATAGGATTAAAGGTAGTTTTATGATCCCGAGTTACTTTCACGAGAACTGAGTTACATTTTGATTTAACACTGTTTGTTTTTAATTTACAACAAATGCTAATAACTGTTATCTTTTTTTAGACACAGTTGTTTCGGAGCGCGGTCGGTTGGTGCCCACCCCCAACGGCGGGTACGTCCTAGAGATCGAAGGCCAATATCAGTTCATCGGTGATGACGGCCAGATCTACGTCACCAAGTACCGCGGTGGTCCCGACGGCTTCCACGTAGATGGTACCCATCTGCCGGAACCAGTGCCCGTGATTCCAGTCTGAGTTGAAAATTATCATGTGATCTAGAGACTTTCATTTATGGCCTTTCTTGAAGAGATGACTCGAAGGGAAATAACACTGAATATAACTAACTTAAATAAACTGTTTTGTCGTAGTAATATTAATATGTTTTTTATTACTCGTATTTATCAATTTTCTGACAGGTAAGTAATACTAATTAAGTTAACAATCATATGTGTTACTGACCAAACCTTGTTTGCCAATCTCACTATCTTCTCAAGCCTTTATCAACCAATTTAGTGGAGAACTCCTTCAATCTGTTTCATTTTTTCTTATTTTGGGCTGTTTGATCCAATTTTACCCTGGGACCTCTGCCCTATTTAGGTTAAAATAGTTCTTAGGATTAGATTAGAGATAAGCACTAAACTACTCACAGGATAAACTGGTATGGTCAAGTCAAAGCATAATTAAATACTCCGTACTTGGTAATATAATCGATTGTATTTATATTTGAGCCATTTTAACGCTATAATTCGTCGTTGAAACTATTAGATGAAATAATGGAACAATCATAATATTGTAACAAACAAAAAAGTGTTTTAATTGAATTTTTAAATATTTTATTTATTTTTACATTGTGTGCTTCGGTGGTCATTAGAATTGTAGAGTAACATTATTTTCTTGTACTTGCATCGGTTAGTTAAACTGATTTTTATGCAGTTGCATTTCACAAAACCTTGGTCTTATCCAACTGAATGTATCAGTAGCTGCAGTCCGTAAGGATATTATAAAGATTTGGTATCTCTGCATCTGTATACATCTGCGAAATATAGTAAAACTAAATTTGTTTAGACAGGGCTATATTTTTTATTTTATTGTGAGGAAACTGCTTTAAGCATACCCTGCAGCCTGGTGGGCAACGAGCCTATGTGGGACTCCCCTCTGTGGGTTTATTCAGCGGGTGTTCGCTCGATGGACTAGGCTATACCAGTTTTTTGAGTGAGCGTATTTATATTAGAATCAACCAGTTTAGTCTAGGCAAAACTAATTTGTTCTGAAAACGAGTTTGGCCGGTTAATAATCTTTTGAAAAATATTGGCCCTACGAATAAAGTTAAAATAATGTTTGTCATATTTTTAAATAGGAAGTTAAAATATTGTTTTGAGAAATATTTTGTTTATCATTTGTCTTACTATAAATAAAATTCCTAGCAACATTTTGATTTCCATCTAAAGGTGTTTAGGGTAGATGCATTATTTGTAAACTTTTTCTTTACACAGATACGGCTATTTATTTTTTCATTTAAATTAAACTTAACTTAAAATCAAGCTAACTTGTTGTTACTATCGGTGCTAACGTTACTCACTCGGTAGATTTCTAAAAGGATCTAAGGAGGGTGGCGAGAGGTTTCGAGGATGCGCCGGGGTGGTGGGGGCTGCGCTGTGACGTCACGTCCTATCTGGGCGGCCATCTTGGATTATCTCGTCGCACCTGCGGGGCGCGGGGGTTTCAGTATCGACCCACAACGCCCTGCATTTTTCAGGGTAAACTTGATAATGTCTGCCGAAATTGTTTTTTGATGGCGCTTGATGCTCCTTTTTATTTTCACACGTTTTTTATGACTTCTAGTAGAGATTTTTTTTTTTTATTTATAATCTGAAATCGTGATTTTAAGTCTAAATCGATTTATAATAACGGCCACTTACAACCAAATTCATTTGTTGTAGATTTTTATAAAGTCCGGAAATTTATTACATGTTATTCTAAAAATATCACAGTATTATATTTAGTTGTATATGCTTTATATAGATGTTTACTTATTTTTTCCGCTCCCAAATTAGCAGTTAGATAAAATACTTGTATTACGGAAATCTGAAACAACTCCTTTTCTACACCGATTCGCTAGGGAAACAAACTCATGACCTCAGAGGTGGCGACATCTTGTCACCGGCGAGCCACTCAGCCACGGAGGTCGTCAAGTATCATTTACATCGTCAATATTGAAAAAAGTTTTTATATCTAACACGTTTTAAGCGGGAAACGATTACAACTTAGAACCCAATTAAAACGTATAATAATTAACTTAAAAATCGTTTTCGGTATGCTGCTATATTCCAGGAAGACGGTCGTGTTATTAGATGTAGTTTCTCGTTCGTTGTACAAACAAGAATGATTTTGATCGCCCATTCGAACTTGTCTCTGCCGGGTTGCACTCGTAAGGAATTCCAAAGCTCGGTAATGATACGACCAATCTCAAAATAGTTGTGCTTTAATTAACGCACGAAGATTTATTGAGGTTGTTTAAAGATTTGTAATTCAATGCAAGATTATTTCAGTGATCGAATATGACAAAATTGTGAGAGTTTTTCGGGTATCTTTCGGGTAAAAAATGTTTTTTTTTCCAGATTTTTCTGTATCGTTTCCTGTAAGAATCTTATTCGGATTTTTCTAACTTAATAGCTCTCTTTAGTACGGTTACATTTGATCAGGGTAGAATTTCGGTAACTGATTGGTTGAATAATTAATCTTATTTTTAAAATACTTTAACTAGTAAACAACAAGATTGATCATTGATCTTCCTTTTGCTATTTTCATGGATCACAGACATAAATAAATGTTTCTGTAATGATTATCCGTAGATATAAACATATAGATTTAATCTAACCAAAATTTAATTGTTCTAGAGACAAACCGCGACTAATACGGAGTGTTAAAATTCCACACACACCACGGCTTTATCTATGTGCGGTAGTTTGGACAATCTGATGTTATCTAAGGTCCTCTCCCTCCTGTGTTTGGGGAGAAATAGAGGGTATACACGCCACTTTGACCCTTAACTGCGGAGGGAACGAAAGTGTGACATTCAAAAGTTAAACAACAAAACGGTTTAGCTGGTGGTCCTAGGGGATGGTAATATGTTTTGCTTATAGTGTTGTTATGCGGTTTGATAAGTATTACTTTCAATATCAATTAGTGGTGTTTTTCAATCTTATTGGTGTTTTTTTATGTTTTTGAGACTGGTGCTGTTATATAAAAAGCTGTTAAAGCCAATGAGCTTTGAGTTAGTTTATTTTTAACAACAAATATTGTCATAATATCAATTGTTTATATTCTTCCCTTGGTATGAGAAATCATGGAGTTAAAATCAAAACAAAACAACTTAGTTCGATTCTAATTCGATTCACACTCGACAATTTTCCCATAAAGTTCAAATTGATACAAACGTTGACATATCGAAAATATGTTTGACTCAACCAACTTTCGAAACATTTATACGAAATTAATCTTTAAAACAATATCTCTAAAGCCTAATTCAGTAGAAGTTAAGTATCAAAACAGTATGTCAACATAAAACATTGAAGTTTATCTAAGTAGATACAGTATATTCGACGATAAATTCAAGGAAGTAGCCAAAGTTGCGCCGTAAACGCTCAGAATTGTGTTCGGGCCACTCTGCCGCTGCGCTCCCGCCTGTTGATTTACAACCCGTTTTAGTACTAGCAGTTAACTTACTACAGGTTGTATTATTTAGCAGCCCGTAGTGATGAATTTACTTAGAAAATTCCTACAGTAAATTATTGCTCGGCATGAATATTAAATTAATTGGAGTTAAACTTTTGGCTAATATTTTTAATAATTGTAACTTACTGAAAGGGGAAAGGGGGGCTAGATGGAAGGAGGCGCACAACAGAAACTTCTTGTAATAGAGATGATAATTATTTTTTGTTTTTTTGTTCGTCAGGTAGATTATTAAACACGTATTTTGTCGTAATCAATAAATTATGGCAATATATTGAGTTGAAATGGTCACACCTTTGTACTTTTTTTACATAGTTGTGAAGTAGCAAGCAAGTCCCCACTCCTCAACTTTGATGCCCGGATGCCGTTTCTTGTTAAATTGTATCTAATATTTTTCTATTATCTGACTGACGAACTAAATAGAATTTCTTTTAGAATAGAATTTTAATCATCATCATCGGTTCACAAAATACATGATCTAGCGAGGATGCTTCTGCATGACACACGTTAAGTTTGATTTCCAAACAAAATATAGCCAGATTCGCAGCAGTTAGTAAAGTACAAATTGTGCGTTTATTTGATAGACTGTGTGAAAACAAAAGAAAGAATTGAAAAAATATATAATTACTTTCACTAAGAAAAAAACAACCTTAGTAGTTTTGAATGTTATCAGGTACAATCGAATAACTGCTCCATTGTAATAGTTTTAAAATCTTTACACACATAAAACATCATAAATTCAAAAGCAGAATAGAAGGATCAACATAGAAGGAGCCCCGTATAATTTGAATATTTGCTTCAGACGGACAATGGTTTGAACCAAGTACGAGTAGTCACTTTAATCCTTATGAATTTTGTATATGCACTCTATTATAGTACCATATTTATTTTTAATTTAGTCAGTATTGTAAAATACTGTACTGTAAAAAATGTATAAATAATCAATAAGATTATTTATACATAAAGATTATTTATACATAAATGTATAAATAATCAATAAGATTATTTATACATTTTTATTTTATTTTCTGATATTATTATAACATTGACCACATTTATTTCTGACTTATATCTTGTTTGATATTTCGATTTGTACTCCTTTTTCTTTTAACTCTATAATGATTTTGTATCTGATCATATCAGTTGGGGTGACGCCTGAAAATCAGTGCTTCATCTGCGTATCGGTGATTCCAGTGCCTAGACTCTTTGTCTCTGCTGCACACAGCTCCATGACTCTGTTCCTACTTTTTTTTATTTTACGTTATTTTATTTCTGTGTAACGTAGTTATGTGTTGCATTTTGAATAAACAAATTATCCATCTATTTATTATTGATAGCGTCACACAAAGCATTTGACGTTCACGAACTACGTAGATGCTTGATGGTGTGCATTATGCAGTGAGCTCAGTGATCATTAACTACCAATCCATTACACCAGTGATCAGACTATTGAAATGTCGACAAAGCGTTCTAATTATAGTATCCATTACTGTAATATTGCAATCCTATTCTAACGGGACTTT